GGGCTGCCCCTGCCTGTGCCCATCAGCCTTGTTGCTTGCCTGGCTGAGCCGCGGGCAGCGCGGAGCCTGGCGTGCAGAGGGGGGCTGTGTGCTGACTCGTGGGCAGCCCTCGCTGTGGGTCCGTCCGTGGGATGGAAGCGCCTCGCCTCTGCGGACCCTGCTGCTCTCAGCACGTGGACACTCTCGGGCGCCCAACCAGAGTTGCAGGACCCAACTCCTTGCAGCTCCTTCCACGGAAAAAAGAAACAGCTCGCTTCCCCCGTCCTTGCTGTCTATTCGTGGGTGGTGCAGGGACATGGGTTTTGGGGCCTGGCAGTCCTGACACCCGGCGGAGCATTCCCCGCGCTCGGCTTTAAACAGCTCCTACCCCCCCAGTGGGCTGCACCTGGTGCCTCCTCCCCAGCCGGTGTCCCGCCCTAAGAACGTCCTGCGACTTAAATGCAATGTCACCGCAATGATTTGCTTTCCTGCCCCCCTTTTAGAGTCAAAGCTTCGGTTTGCTTCCCCTAAGTATTCACACCCCCCCGCCCCCCTTGCAGGGAAGAGACCACTGAATTAAAATGCACGTTAAATTTAGCAGGAGGAGCAGCTGGTAATTGTGATGAACCGACTTGTCCCCGCGGGTCCCGAGCATTTAAAAGTGTGTGTAAGCTGATAGTAGGATTTCCCCCACCTTTTGGTCACAGACTTGGACAACTGTTCGACATTTGCTTGTTTTAAATCTTCCAGTTGTGGTCTGACACGGTCTTGTCATCTTTGCCACTGCACGCTGCTCACTGTACTTGTCTGTTATTCCTAAATCTTTAAAGTACAAAAAATACTTCTAAGATTCATTATTGTTATTATCACATTCACAAAATTTCACATAGGATTTTAGAGTAGTTGTAAGGGACCCCAAGGACCGTCTTCGTCTGGCCGGCGTGGCTGAGCGGTTGAGCGTGGACCTAGGAACCAAGAGGTGGCTGGTTCGGTTCCCGGTCAGGGCACATGCCAGGGTTGCTGGCTCCATTCCCAGTAGGGGGTGTGCAGGAGGCAGCCGATCAATGATTCTCTCTCATTAATGATCTTTCTCTCTCTCTCTCTCTCTCTCTCTCTCTCTCTCTCTCAAATCAGTAAAAATATATTTTAAAAAAAGAGAGAGCATCTTAGCCCAAATCCTTCATTTTTAAAATGAAGAAACAGATCTGGAGAAGGGAAGTACATCTGCCTCTCGCCTTCCAGGCTCTTGTACTTTCTGCGCAGGTTAAGACACCCCTGTCTTGCCACTGGATGTGTTGAAAGGGTTACCAGAAGGCCGCATCTTCTAAATCGATATCAACACTAGTGAAAAGTATGTGACTTGGTCTTACAAGAAAGAAAGTGACTTGTTCTTCAGGACTTATCAGACTAGGACATTCAAAAATGTTTCTCTTTTAAAGTGTTTCTGAATACATACCTCCCTTCCCCCAACAAAGTGGGATTACTATGGAGAGAGAGAAAGAGCTGAGCAGCCTTCTTGTGGTTCCATTGATGCCTGATGCGGAAAAGGACCAGGAGTTCTGCGACTTGAGGGCACCTATAACTTGCCAGCTGATTTCTGAGCAAAGCCAGAGGAAGGCTGGCCGAGA